GTGAGCAATTGTTCACGCCGATCAATTTTTGAGATTTGGTTAGTTCATCAGTATAAAGATTTATTATATTCTGGATTTGTGCATCAGTTAGTCTAGAGATTGCATCAGCACTAGATGTAACCACACCAATTTTATCTATTCCTATTCCTTTAAACAAGGTATAGATGTTTTTAGCCTTTTGTGTCATCTTACGCAAATACTCTCTCTTTTTACCGGGAAGATACAGCTCCATTTCATCATAAATCTGCGTTCTTGCCATTTGATCGCTAATATTATTTTCGGATCTAAGGGTTATAATCTTTTTTTCATATTCCTCACTATAGTAATACCATCGTAATTTTTCTTTCCGACCGGTCTTTTCAGCCTTGTCAAATAAATGAGCTAAATGAAGTACAGAACCTGGAGTTAGGTCAGCATTGACTGGGACATCTGGAATATGTTTGCTAGATATAGAATTCGGTAAGGATGTGGAATTATGGCATTTAATAAATTCAAGTAGTTCGCGTATTAAATCTTGTTCTACTTTCTGATTATAGGGAATTTTTTGGGGTGGAGTGTCCTGCTTATTTCCAAAAGACTCACAGGGTATCGCTGACTCTGCAGATGATTCCTTTGGAATCGATTCTTCAACTACCTGTTCTGGGAGAGTTACAAGTCCAGTGCTAGTCGTAGAGAGGTCTGTTATACAACTGGTGTTAATTGCTGGTGATGACTCCTGAACAATCAATTCGCTCTGAAGCTTTTTTTCCCGCTTCCTCTGCCTGATCTCATCGCTAACCTTTCTACTATACTCCTCATCCAATAAATCATCCGTCTCTTTATCCTCCAATGACTTAGTTTCTGTACAAATAGGTTTGCATGCATTAGAATTAAATGTACTATCAGATGTATTTGATGGCTTTGCCATCTTTTCTAGTTTACCCAGGCGAACAACATTGTTGGGATTCTCGACAGAGCTGGCATTGGCCGATGATTGTTTGATTTCCTTGATATCATCATCCATTTTGGCAATAAGGTTGGTCTTTTCTTTATCTCTCTGCTCTAGTCTCGTGAACCTAGCTTCATGTTCTTACAAAGCGCACCTTAACTTTGCATTCTCAGCCTTGACCTCTGCATTCTCATCCATAACATTGATATATTTGGCCTTAACCTCAGCATTCTCGGCCTCAAGCTCAATAATGCGTTGTCTCAATAAATCAAGTTCAGATGACATGATAATATTTTAATGTTCTATAATGCTAGTATTCAAAATCGGAAAAATATGTAAGCTGATCGTGAACAATTGTTCACGCCGATCTCTTTTGCCAAGAAAAAAAAAAATATTAATAGGGGTTTATGACAATCATACAAGTAGGCACGATCCCTTACCCTGAGTGCCTTCGGCTGGGATCAACTTATTCGTTGTCTCTCTCTTTCGAGGCGACGATAGATTTTTTTGGCATGTTTGGAACAATAGCCCGTATAAGATAATGTAGGTTTATCACATATTCTGCATGGAGATTTTAGCATATTATTTGCAACCGATTTCCAGTGGAGCGAACATCCTGCCAAGCGGGTGCATACTCGGCCACAAGTACTCCCATCCTTTCTAATATGTGGGCAGGTAAGACGATCCATTTATTATATTCTTTCTTCACTTCCATTATAAAATCCGATTTCAAATTATGGAAAAATCTGAATTGAACTTCGGTGGAAAAAGTATAACATAAACGAAAAATATATACCACACCATACCACAGTCATCATCTATGGACACGCAAAGAGCAGTACTTAATATTTTAACAGGCCGATGGATCAACCCAAACGGAAAGCTATTCCAGAAGTTGATTCGTGAAGGTTACAGATATGCTAACAGACTTTCAGATTATTTAGAAGATATTGGAACTATGAATATCGGTGAATTCGAATTAGACCCCTTAATTGACTTCTATTATCCAGCCTTAATTCCGCCTTTATCTGTCTTAGCAATTAGAGCAGATATTCGTAAAAACTTTCCTATTAGTGTAGAATCTGCGGTTGTAGGAGGAATGAGTTTATTCACCCTTGAAAAAAATAAACAATCCTCGCTTCAGAATCTAATCCGAATGAATTATTCCAATGATAACTTGATCACACTAATAGGAATAACTTGGGAGCAAGAAGAGATGAAAACTTGGAGGAACGAGGTGCTCATGAAATTCCTCCATAATCCGAATTTAGTACTTTCAAGATATAAACCAAATGCATTATATGACGCATTCACAAAAACAGATATTTTAGAGCCGGAGCATGTATTAGCTCTAACACGGCTACTCGGTTAAAATGTGAACATGATATAAATTTGTATATAGCCACGGAACCCCCATTCCATGACTATATTTTTTTCGCTTATCATATATACTTGCAAAATTCAATTTTTTATTAATATATGCAAAAATAAATACATAGATCGGGTCTTAGCCCGCGATACAACTGATACATGACGTCTATGCTACATCTAATCCTACAGTCTAACTAACCACCTGACATTTACGTGACTTGGAAATTCGCCCCTCCTTCTTTACGAAATGTCTGTAAAATACATGATTATTAATTATAAGAAACTAGGATTACAGTAAATAGGAATAATAGATTCTTACACAATATATCCATCTAGCAATTGAGATAATTTGAGCTGTTCCTCCTCGAAAAGCTTTCTCTTCTTTTTTGTGTCCTCCCGGCTTGCCATCCCGAAGTCGATCAAGTAGATGTCATCATTATCGTTAATTAGGATGTTTTCCTCCCGAATATCATTATGGAGGATGCCATGTTTGTGGATTGCTTCCAATCCCTTAATAGCCCCTGACTTTTGCTGTTCCGTTATTTTTTGGTCGCTCAACATAGTGCCAACAATAGTTAAGCCGATAACGAAGCTCATACCTCCTCCATAATATCCATAACAGACCAACTTCGGGATATACTTGCCTTGGATATCAGCGAGTTCCTTGTAAATCTCTACTTCCTTCTGCATTTCTTTCAGAACATACGATGGGGCCTTCGATAAGTCTACACTCTTCAAAGCAATCGTATCGCCACGAAATTCGCATAGGAGCGTTTTTCCACTTCGTCCTTCACCTAGTATGCTCTTAAACTTGAAGTCTGCAAAGCTAAACTTTTCCTGGTCTACGTTGGAAGCGCCAAAGGCGGATGACGATTGTTGATTCGCAGAGGTGCTGGAAGCCTGATTAGTTAATGAAGAGCTGGATGATGATTTTGAGTTTGATCGAAGAGTACGTGAATTATTATCCCCTTGAGCCGGCACTAGTACTTGAGGTTTAGGAG